CCTGGAAAATGCCTGTACAAATTCTCAAAGAATCCTCTCATAAGATGCAGTGTTGTTCGCCAGCTTTTCAAGCACGTTGAAAGAAATTTAATGATAGAGGGGTGAACCTTGAGTTGAAGGGTTCGCTGCAACCAAGAATGTGGAGTGGAATTAATTGCCTTCCGGAAATCAATCCAGCTCACTGACAAATTAGTTGTTTTATTTTGTACAAGCTTGGATTATTATTATTATTATTATTATTATTATTATTATTATTATTATTATTATTATTTAGGAGGAGGAAAATCCTTTATGGATACCAGTGAACTGGTGATGTCGGACTTCCAACTAGGTTACCGACTAAAAACCTAACCTCCGTCTCTTAAACCGTATTCTCTCCCACGTGGAAACCGTCGGTAGACATTACTTCACGCAGGAGATTGGCTGGTAGCAGATGCTCTACTTCCTCTGTCTTAATTCTTTCTTCATAATACTAACTATGAAGTTCTCTATGGTTTTCCATTTCTCCTGCGAGCTCAGCATCATGTCGACCATCTTGTCTGGATTTATAACTTGTTGGAGGTTGACATTACAAACCTCTCGTTCCGCGTCGCATGCCTTGCACTGGAATAGTGTGTGTTCCGCATCATCTAGTATGTCTGCGTAACAGAGACTACGTGTGAGACACTACGATCCTGAAATCTTAGAGGTATTTCTTAAATCCCTCATGTCCCGTAAGAGCCTGGGACTCACCTCCCCAAAACTTCGGCTAACCCATCTCTCGATGTTGGTAATTAACCGATGAGTCCATCTGCCTTTCACATACCCATTCCATCTTCCTTGCCCATTCTCACGGAGCAACTTCCTTGCTTCTGCTTTAACACTTTCAATTTGCTTGGGAGGGAGACTGACTGCTTGTGCTTTCTTCAAGGCGAGGTACGTCCTCTTTCTATAATAATAATAATAATAATAAATAATAATAATATATAATTATTATTATTTATTATTATTATTATTATTATTATTATTATTTCCCTTTTCTTGGCCGTACTGATTTTCGTTTTACTTTTATTGAAGTATTCAACTATTAGGTCAGTTGTAGCTGATCTGAACACGAGAGAATCGTCTTCCCTCCAGTTCTAATGACATTTTAGAGCGTTGTACCCGCCTTAAAAGTAACCGCTTTTACTTGCAGCTGTGAAAAGAAAGAAATTTACTTCATTTAGAAGGACGAAAAACCCACTTTAACGGTATCGGCGATCCACTAAACAAGTTTTTCAGTCGAAAATCAAACTTTTCGCTGCACCATTACACACGCTATTTACATTACACCTTATATACGTACGTGTTCGAGAAATTAACTAGTGGTGCGAGGTAACGAGAAATTAATGGCACAGAGTTTCCCGTATTCGTTTTCTATTTCCTTTGGTCTCGGCTAGCTGTACGAACTTGCCACATACTCTAGCTAGCTGCCATCTATCGCCGCCCAAAGTACTTTTTTATTGAAATTTTCTTAATTTTTCGGTTTCATAATAGTAGAACTAAATATTATTTTATGAATATTAAAGAACAGTAAAACCTCGACCTAAATCGCAATTTTCTTTGGAAAATTTGCAGCCTTTTTTAAGAAAATGGCGTTTAAGCACTACTGTAAATTCGAAATTTGAAGCTCTTTTTCACAGAAAATTTTTGGGTTTTCGAAAACTTCATTTGAAGTACTTCAACTCACAAATATAATAGTGTTTACAAATTGCTCGAAATGTGTATATCAGCGGCGTAAGATATCTTTCAAAAAATTTACATTTGTATAAATTTTGAAAAAAACAAAAAATACATCGAAATTGACTTTACGTCTTATTAAAGAGTATAATTTCCACATCCCTTTCGCAAATTTTAAAGAAAAACTAGGAGCCGTTTTTTAGGAAATGGCGTTTAAGCGTTTCTAAAAATGCGTTGGTTTGAGTTAGTTTTCACAGAAAACTGTTGTTTCCGAGAAACTTTGTCTGACATAATTTAAAGCACAAGTACTCATAAATGTAAAAATGTGAAAAAATTGCCGCCAATATAAATATTATCGACATGAAAGACAAGTCAAATAATGACATTTTTATAATTTTTGAAAAAACAAAGAATACAGTAATATCACGTTTGTCATCTTATAGAGTACATTTTGCATTTTTCGTACCAAAATTTAAAATGAAAAAATGAGGAGCCGTTTTTAAAAAATATTGTTTTGTATTTTTTGATATTTGCAAATATTGCATGCATTATTGCGCTAAAACTACTAAAAGTTTCAAAAATATACATGATCTTGATAAAATAACTAATTATGGGCAACAAATTTAATTTGAAGTAAAAAACCCAATCTTCAATTTTGTAGTTGTAGAAAGGCGCCGAAAAATTCATACTTTTGAAATTTTCGAAAATTCAGAGCTAACCTTCAAAATTGGACCTATTCAACTTTTATAAGTGTATGTTATTCTTACAAGAAATTTAAAGAAAAAATTGAACCGTTTTTTTTCTTTCTTTTTTTGAGAAAATTTTGAAAATGTCTTATGTGCTTCATGTTAGGTACCCACAAATTTTAAAGAATGTTTTTCAAAATCTCAAAGCTTCGACTCAAGCGACGAGGCGTGAGGCTGGAACGGGAACGGGAATTTCAACAATAATAGACTTAACATTGCTGTAATAAACATTTACTAACTGAAATGATGATAATGATGATTTACATGAATTACAAAAATAATAAACACGACCCATTCTTTTAAGAACATTAGCCATCTGTTAAGCTCGATACAAAATAAAGCAATGCGTCGTCAAAAATATTTGTGCTGAAGGCACCCCCCCCCCCCCCCCCGCTTCGCTCAGCAAAATGTCCGAGCCGCATGCGGGAGCTAAGCGGATTATTACTTTTTTTTTGTTCGGGCGGCATTTACAGCACGCCCGGTGGTAGAGTCGTCGACCTGCGTTCTGGGGCGGGTTCGCCCCCTTCCAGGCAGCTGCCGGTAAACACAGGGCGGCTCCCAGCGTGACCGTCTGACGTCGCCGCTTCTCGAGGGTCCACCCCTTCAACCAGCGTCACCAAACTCTGGCAGCACGGTGTTCATCGGCGATGGTTGATTGGAAGCCAATCAACTTCCGTATCAGCAGTCGCGGACGATTGTCATAACGCGATGAATTGACTTAAGCGCGAGACTGCATCCCTTTTCGCCTGAATTTCTGACTGAGTGCGCGAGGGGTCAACTTCCTCCGCACAAGAGGCTTCGAATGCTAAGTGAAGTCAAGTGAGCAAAGCAAAGTGAAGTTAATAACTTGAGTTTCAGTCAATGCCTTACTGAACTCAAGTGAATTCTCGTAACCAAGTTAGCAGATCGAGTGACTACTCGGAGCCAAGTTAAAAAACCAAGTAATTACTCGTAGCTGAGTCAAGAAAACAAGTGACTACTCGTGGCCGAGCTAAGAAATCGAATGACTACTCGTGACCGAGCTAAGAAATCAAATGCTCTCAGAACGGCGGCCTGGTATCAGCAAACTCCCTATCCCCTCCCTCAAACAGCGTGGATCCTCCCGATACGCGGGGTTGAATTTCGCGGAGTAGGGTGGAGATGTGTTTTTAACCAATCAAACGGGAACCCTTTTCTCAACGGCCAGAATGTCCGTTGCTGGTATTAAAAAAAACTTCGGGCGTGTTTACTTCGGATCCGCACGTGCGCCGCTGACCGTTGGGTCATAAATTTGTCTCCCGAGAGGGCGCAATTAGCGTTGGGTTCCTTTTACGAGCGGTCGCGTTGGTGAATATGAGAAACCCACTTGATATTTGGCGAGGACCCGGCTGCCGACAAGCCCTCCTTCGGTACCGCGCGGGGGTGTCCTGCCATAAAATCTCATACAACCCCTCGTCTCAATAGCCGAACGAGCGCGGGTACCTACGACCCCCTTTCGCAGCTGCGTCGCGGACGTCCGCTTTTTCCCCCCTTTTTTTTTTCATGGAAATTTTGCAGCGCATGAGGTTGTACCGTTACACTAGATAGATAGGGATTTCTTCAATATGGAAAAAATCGTACGTATGGTGTAGACATTAGTCGTGTTCACAGACGAACGTACAGAGGGATGTTTTATCGACGTCAATTGATTTTTTTGTATCAAGAACCCACAAAACAGGGATTTCGGCTACATCATGTGTTAGAGAATTTTTTCTTCTTAATTTAGCAACTGAATTTATTCACCTTTTCATTATCGGAGCCAGGCAATTATTTTTTTCTGCCAAAATTCCGCAGGTTTATTTGCGCAGCATTGCATAACTTTCCCTATACTACGTATATAACTCCGTGTGTACGTATGTATACGGGAAAGTAAAAAAAGTGAATTCCGTCATGGAGAAGGTTGTCTATCATCAAAGACGATCTGTAATTTCTTACCCTATGTTGTCTAGGTATTTACATGTATTTCAAAATAAATGTTACACATTTCTATGTCATTTAGAGAGGATTTTTGCAAAAAAAAAAACATGAAGATGTAAAATGCAGCTTCACTATGCACACATTTTGTTAAACTCTCTTTTTCCTTGTAATGGTAAGAGTAGAGGTAAGGGGTAGTTGCTATTTTGTTAGCAATGCAAAAAAATTATACAATTATACAATACAAATACAAAAAATTACAATTCGTGTACCGATGCAAGTATGTTTTCTATAATTTAGAAACGAAAATGACTATTTTTTTCAAATATTGCTAATATATTGATTTTTAAAATTTATTTTTATTTATTTATGTCAAACTTTTACTCATCTTTCAACTATTTATAGTTGACGGGAAGGGATTCTGAAACTTAAGAAAACATGCACAGATAATATTTTCCCCCCTACGTCACATACAATTTTTTACTGTTTTTTTTTTGACAGAATAAATCTAAATCTAAATGTAAGAGTAAAAATTCTTATAGAGAGTTACACACGTGACATTTGCCCCTGGTTGTTAGGCAACCATACACGCACAAGTGTTTTGCAAGTTCATGAAATCTCTTTGAAATCATCTGGATGTAACCCGCTGAACATCAATGCATAAGTTATTTGCAATTAAAGTAGTAATTCTGTATAAAATGATATATTACGTTTACATATCAATTATTATTGCAGGTTATGTTATTAAGCCCATATCAGAGTATATTATACACATGGGATGATCCCTCAAAGGAACGTTCCATATTGTGGAATGTTTATAATAAAAAATCAAAAGGATATTTGGCTGAGTTTTGGAAGGTAAGTTAAGTTACATTGACAAATCTTTTCTCATAACATGAATAAATAATTTCTAGAAATGCAGCCAATATATAAATGTAAAGAAGTAATGTTTTCCCTACATTTACTACATATTTTACCTACCACCTTATATATTAATGTAATGAAACAGAGAAGTTGGGAAAATGTTACTTCTTTAAAAATAGAAAAATATTTAATGTTTAGGGTCATATAAAATGTATATAATTAACAATGAATTGTCTGTGGTTGTTTGTAGTTGAGATTTTGATTTCCGTAAGTTTTATATCACATTTAAGTATTGTCAAGAATGTATACCAAACTTTTCTTTTATTTTCGTAAAGGATGGATATGGACAGGAAAGAGTAAGTTTTCACACAGTGAAACAGACTAATGTGGCATCTGCAACTCCTACTGTAACTGCTAAGCTCTCAGCAAGTTTTAAAAGGCTTTCCCCAAAGTCTCCGGTTTTGGAGAGCAGTAACAGTGGTAGTAGTGGCAGTGGAAATGGTAGTGGTGGTGGAAGCAGTAGTAGTGATGATACTGAATCTGATGAACAACGACCGCATGTAAGAACTGTTGTAAATGTATGGAAATCTATTCATTTTTTTTTTCTTTCAATTTTTGTAAATGCAAAAAACTGATCTTATAGAATTATTAAAAATAATAAAATGTACATAACATGAATTTTCCAGACTTTGAAGAAAACAAGAAAAGACAAAGTGACTGTGTATTGGGTTAGTTATTTGGAAGGATGGCAGCGTGTGTTGTTGTTTACTCAGGATGAACGAGTAGCTTATGAAGCACGTAGTAAAATAGATGCTGAAAGAAGCAATATGGAATTATTTGTATCTCTGAGTGGAATTGATATTTCTTTGGTAAGACATCTTGTTTCTCTTGGGTTTGAAATAATGAATTTATTTATTCTTTTAATATACAACTCATTCATATAGCCTTCTCTTTGTAATTTTATAATAGCGTGACTTATACAGAACAATTTACTAAAACATATTCCGAGTATACTTTTAATGTTTTGTTTTGTTATGAAGGGAATTGAAACTAGCATGGGTCCTAAGGAACTTGTGCAAGCCAGCATCTCTGATTCTCCTGCAATGTGGGAAGTGCTTGTAGGACATAGATGGAAATTACTTACCTTAGAATTAGCATCATGGATTGAAGAAAAATGGATCCAGGAACAGAAAAGAGCTCAAATGAAGGATTATGTTTATGTATGACCTTTAAGCATTTCTTATGGTATACAATAGCTTTTTGAAAATGAAAAATATTAATAGATCCTAAACAACAGATGGTGTAAATGATTAATTTTAAAATGGATCAAATACATTTCAAGTTAAAAAAAAGATAATACAACATTACAGATTTAAAGTGTTTAATACAGTTGGCTGTTAAAATTCAAAAGTTATTAAGCTTGTGATATTTAATCGTATATGAAGTGAAATAGAAGTCAGTCTGATGTACATGAAAAAACTTTGATAAAATTGGTAGAACAAACTTTTAGTTTCTATTGCTGTCAAGTAGAAAACTTAAAAATATTACCAATTAATGAAGTTGCTCAAATTGTGATATTATTTTCTTCATTGAATATGTCAATTAGCAATGAACTTACATTTAAAATGAAATTTGCCAGAGAAAACAAACTCCTCAAAGAGCAAAGTTACGAAAGTAAATATATCTTTTTTACCCTGTCCACTCACCCCAACCTACCCCAATCTCATTTACAATTTATTATCTTTTTCTTAATGTAAATTAAATAAACTTATGTCAAATTAAATAGATGGGTATCTGAGGTTCAGGGAGGACTTATCTTAATTAAACTTAGAAATAGAATGTAGTTGTGGAAGTCTTGCTAGTTTTTTTAAGTAACCTATCATTTATGCTGGTGAAAATTGTTAAAATTAGATATATATTTAAGTTTCTGTACGTTATTATTGTTCTCTGTGTTTAGACTAAATGTTAGGTAATTCACATTATATTGTAACTTGTCTCGTTTGCAGGTGGATTTTGAGAAAATGCTCATTACCAAACCATTTTATGGCGAACTTAGAAGGTGTTACTATCCTGGAATTTGGTTGCAGTATCGCCATTCTGACCATAGGACGTACACTCATTTCAAAATTCATAGAATTCAGGTAATTTACTCATAAGCTATTACTTTAAGATAAACATGCAATTTTATTTCTAGAATAGAAGGAGAGTTATTACAAATTACGAGGGCATAGCCCTAATACTTATCATCTCTTAGTCCTTTGGGTTGCTTATTGAGTACATTTCTGAAGGCTCTGTAGGTGTCAGGGACTGGGAAACATTCCCTTTGCCCCTACTAGAATTTGAATATTGAGCAAGAAATTAGTTGAACAGAAATAAAGCCACTTCATTTACAGTTATTTTATATGAGCAAATTCAAATATTAATAAATCATAATTATTATTCCATTTAAACTACAAGAAGTCTAAGGCAAAGATGGGGACTCTCCCCACTCCTTTTTGATTTCAATGCCAATAATCCCATGATGGATTCCATGTCAATTAAGCAATGTTGACAGACTCACACACTCACTCACTCACCCACTACCACTCGTTCACTCATGCACTCACTCACTCTGTCTGTCTGTCTGCCTGTCTGTCTTTCTTTCTGTCTTTGTCTTTCTTGCTTTCTCCCTATAAACCATGATAGTGAATTATGAATGATTTTAGCAAGTTTTTGGCATCCACTGTCACTTTTCAGTTCAAAATGCACACAATTTGACAATCTGGAAGGGCCCCAATACTAATTATTCTAGATTATTAGCATTCCACTGTATTGTAAAATTTGAGGCAAAGAAATGATTTCTCTTAAATCGTTGAATTTCTTATTGCATCACAAACAGTAATTCTAGTGTATTCATTAAAAGAAATTAATTTAACATGTTTCGTTACTAGTAGTAAAATGAAGTTGTTATTTGACTTTTTATTGATATTTTGTTGTAATTTTATTGAAATTAGAATTGCATATTAACATGTTTTAATGTATTATCTATTAAAATTTATTTGTTTAGGTTGACAATCAGGCTCACGATGCTGTGTTTCCTACAGTATTATATCCCATTCCAGTTCCTCCACATATAATTCGTCGTTCAGGAGTAAAACCCTGTATTGAGGTGGCAATTATGAAAAGACATCATCCTTCATACAATCAAGATGTTTACAAGTTTGTACATTTCTTTCCTAAAACATAATTTATGAAAAATTGCTTAGGTCTTTTATAATTGTATATTTAAATCCATTTGGTTTTACTCTTTCAGGTTTATTAAGATTTTGATACAAAGAATTCGCAAATACCAAATAGATCGAGGATTTTTACTTTCATTGTACAATTTTTATTCACAATGGGCACACAGAAGAAAAACCTTCAGTTCGAATTTTCGTTATTGATATTGCCATGGTTCATGTGCCCATTCAACCATTCCCTCAAAGGTAATGTAAATCTCCGTTTATATCTTGAGAAAATGACCATCCTTTAGATGAACCTTTTCTGCAGATATGAATGTTAGCAATTCAAATTAAAAAGTTGTAAGTTAGTTTACTGATTTTATGTATACTTTGAATATTAGTGAATACCCATGCCATGAAGCTCACTATTTCACTTTTTGCTCTATGGTCATTTTTTGTTGTTGCAATTTGTCTATAATTAATTCAATTTTTTTTCTACAGCAGGTTTCAAATAGTGGTTCAAAAATTATGATTGAATATCTTCATGTTTCTCCTCTGAAACTTCAATTTAGTTTCTCTCAACGTGGAAGTGTATTAGTTGAAAACCATGAAGATTCATTGAGATGTGACTTTGTTGACTTTTTTCTTAATTCCTTTGGTGCAACATTAGCTGAAGTAAAAGGAATCAAGCTCAAGTGAGTTCAAAATAGTACAATAATGTTCTTGAGATGTTTTATATTTAATTTTATTATTTTTATACGAGACCTCTTATCTTTTTTTTTTCTTTTCTTTTATTCAGCCTGGTTCTTTTTTATCATTCTTGTTTTCTTTTTGTGAATTTTTAACTTAATGACTGTTAATGAAACCAAAAAGATATTGTATAGCATCTAACTGTAAAAGTGAGTAAATAATATTTGTCTTTATTTCAGAATGACATATTTTGAAAGAAAAGGATGCACTGTGAATTCAGCCCAACAGATTGAAGAAATATATAGTCATTTCAGAAGTCAACTTATTCAGCAGTTCTATGTTTCAGTTCTGGGGCTTGATGTTCTGGGAAATCCATATAGCCTTGTCTCAGACTTCTCAGAAGGATTTGGAGATTTTTTCTATGAGCCATTCTTGGTAGGTATTACTTAGATTAATTCTGGCTCAAATCCAAATGCTTAATTAAAAGTTAACCACAAATTACTTATCATACATCTTATTAAGGTGTATGATAGTCGTTTTTGTTAATTCCTCAAATGTTATGTTATTCAAAGGGTTTGAAGCATGAACTTGCAATCCTCTCAAGCACTTTGCTCTTCAGGAACTTTCAAGTATCTCAGAATTGTCATGCTTGTGTTTGGGTGTGTAATATAATGTTTGATTTCCAGTGGGCTGCTTAACAAGACAATATTTTTTACTAGATATATTATCTTATGAAAGGAAAAGTTCTGTTCAATATTTTTCTGACCTGAAGGTAGGCATGAGTAACAGAACTGATTATTTTGTTTATGCTGCTTTCCTCCGTAGATAAAGGCAGAATATTATCTCATTTTGGAACATTATACTTCTGGGATCTTGTGCTTTATATGCCTAAATATTTTGCTAATTAGTTTTAAAAAAAGTGTTAGTAATCAACTAACCTACTAGAGGTTTAAATACAATGATGTATAATTTTCCAAAATGGCATTTCCAGGGTAAAATGCAGATTCCCGAAGAATTTGCTGAAGGATTAAGTTATGGCGCTCAGAGTTTACTTGGAAATATTGTAGGAGGTTCTTCAGGCTCTGCCTCATTGATTACGTCATCATTAGGTGATGTAATGAACATTCTCAACTTTCAAGAAGATTACAGGAAGGTAAAGGCAAATAAATATAATATTATTGGTTACAAATTAATACTGTTTTATATTTTTTTACTCAACTTGTCACAACAATATTTCTCTGTGGCAGAAGAAACATTACTATATGCAGTTGACGAGTGACTTACCTGAGACTATCCTTCAAGCAGCAAAATCTTTTCCCATGGGAGTGATTCTAGGATGTTCAGGAGTAGTTATGAAACCTGTTATTGGTACGTAATTTATTTATTTCAGAATAAGGTTTGGAAAATCTTTTAATTATTTGGTATAGTTATTAAGATTTATACAGTGTTACCAGAATGAATATGTTTTATTTATGTGACTGACGCTGGTCTAAAACTGGCCCTAATTTATAGTGATATTCTTAATAAAAAATCAGAATTATTTCAAATTTGTTTTCCATTTGGGAGGATTTCATTACAGATGTTTTTTAGCAATACATATCTATACTCACAACATATGTAGGTTGTTTTGATGGGAATTCATAATAGTCCTACAATCCTGCTAAACATCTTTGCAAATTGTTCACATTTGGCAACATTGGGCCACAATGCAAAAGTATTCAAATGAATTACTAGCGATACTACAACAGTGCATTTTTCTCCTATTATTGATAATTATTATGTATTTTTTAATATTGGAACTTTTACACAACCACTACTCTAGTTATGACTTGAAAACTCATAATCAAAAGAGAAACAAAATTGGTTTAAAAAAATATATATAATATATATATAATCTATATATATATATCTATATATATATATATTATATTATATATATAATATATTATATATTATTATATTATATATATATATATATATATAGATATAATATAATATATATATATATATAAGATATAGATATAGATATAGATATAGATATAGAGTATAGATATACCCTTATCTGGATATATTTTCGTTTAATTCAATTAAACTTCTTGGCCATCGAATTTGGTGTGTATTGTGCTGCAATTTTACAAATAGTTCTAAGAATAATAACAACTAAAATAATATTTGGTCGTACTGAGATTTCAAACCTGGCCCTGCATGAGGAAAATCAAGTGAGTTTTCTCTGAGACACTGAAGGGAGTCATTCGGTGGGTAATCATGTTTATTATGGTACTATAAAACATTTGTAACATCATTGTGATAAACTTGAAATTTTATGAAAAAAAGTAGTATTATTAAAAAATGTATGTGAAATGATATGAAGATATAATATTGATGAACACTTTCAATTCCATGTAATCTCTGGTTTTAATTTTAAACGTATAAGACATGTTGAGAAAACACAATCACTAAGATGTAACAATCTTCTTGCACCTTTAAAAAGAAAGTTGAACATTTGCAATCTTTGAAATTTTAGAGGTTTTAATGAATATCTCTGAATTTTGAATAAAAAATAAGAAAATTTTCATATTTGACAAAACCTTGATTACATAATTTTTAAGAGTTGTCAAAATTACATGAAAACTACTCATAACTTCTAACATTTTACCATACATTTTTGAAAGTTCTAATTTAAAATAACAAATTTTAAGAAGAAAATATCTTGTTTTTGAATATCATAGTTGTAGGAAGATGCAAAAGGCATTTTATAGAAATAGTTTGCTTTATTCCAGAAAAAAATTAAAGAAAAAAATTGCAGCCATGTTTAGTAAACTACATCTTTCCTTTTCGCAGACTACTTATGTAGTATAAAGAAAGTTACATAATGCTGCGGTAAGAAACTGCAATTTTCCAACCGAAAAACTCGTATTGTTGTGTGTTTGAAACTTAAAAAGTGGATAAATCTAGTTCGAATATATAGTGAATTAATCAGCATGTTGTGTATACAGAATCCTCAATTTGTGAATTCCTTATTTTATCAAAAAATTAATTTAAGGCAAAACATATGTCCATCTGTGAACAACATTCACTGCATACTAAAGATACAATTTTCACCAAAATTGGTATTTTTCAATCTATCTTGCTGATATTGCTGCCCTTTGAATATGAAAGTGATGTTTTTCTGTTAAAATGAACTCAAATTGCGCATTTTCAGGAACTCAAACGTGTGAGCATGCACAGTCTGAAAGAACAGGGGCCGAACAAGTTTTTTGCACTCCCTTATCCATTGATTTTTTTTTTTTTTTCCTCTTTTGTATATAAGATTTTACTTACAAAAATTTTCAGAATATTTTTCAGTAAACAAAAAAAAATTGGTTGTAGAATGGATTGATTCAGCATCATTTTGGGGTAGGTTCATATGCTTTTTAGCATTTTTAACTGTTTATCATCAACTGTTATTTTGAACTAATTTTTTTATACATTTTAAGGGTTTTGGGGAGGAGGGGGTGTTAAGTTCAAATTGGCGACTTTTCAAGAATAAATTCAAAAGTTTCTTCATGGTTTTATCTTCAAAAAGTGTGATTGTTTTGCAATTTTTAGCATTTAGGCAGTTTTTTTTGTATAAATCAAAAATTCTTAAATAAAGAAGATTAATTTTTATTTTCAAAAAATAGAGAAATAGCTATTAAGGAAAAAGTGATTTTTTCAAATTTAATATACCTAGGCAATAATACTTTTTTAAAGATGTGGCAACAATATTACCATAATTTCTGTCCATATTAACACATCATCATCATTTGTAAAACTCCATCGTAGCCCTTTACACACAAAAAAATTACTTTTTTAAAGGAAATATATGTAAACAAAATTGACAATACACATCTCCATTTCATACACCCAGAAACAATGCAAAGTTATTCTGAGAATTTCAGACTGCTGTATTGCAGTATTCCAACATTGTTGCAATACAACCTGATAACTCCTGAAAGATTCTCAAAAAAGAAACCGGGAAATTTGAATCTGTAATTTTGCAAATTTACAAATAATGCTAAACTACTGATTTTTTATTGTACATAACCTTTTGTAAAGAAATAATTTTTTAAACAATTTTATTGAACCAATCAATATTGTACTTTTGTAATTTTTGAAAATGAAGAGTTTGCTGGTAATGGGACCAGCACCATCTTCAATATTCTATTTGTCGTAAGATGAATTTCACAATTTTCAAAATTTCAGATATTTCAAAGAAAATGAGACCTGCACTCTTTTCTAAATCCTCTGGAGCAGTATCAAAAAGTAAGCCTAGACTAAAGAGATTTGAAAACTTAACTTGTGTGAGAAAGTCTGTGCCGTTTTGTAGCGCCGATAATTAATAATATATTTGAATTAAAGACAATAATCCATGTTAAATCCACTATTCTGGTTTTTCAAGAAAAAAAGTTTATTTGAACAGTTTTATTCTTATTTTGTATTATATCAAATAGAATGTTGAATAGTTTTGAATATTACTTATCAAGTGTAGAAATTGTATTGATATATTTATTAACAGAGCTGATTCTTTCTTTCAGGCTTGCCACAAGAAGGAATAGAAGGTTTCTTCAAAGGAGTAGGCAAAGGTCTTTTGGGGCTCATTTCCAAGCCAACTGTTGGGGTAACTGACAGTTCCACTATGGCCATAGAAGGAATAAGAAGGTATAGACATTCAATAGCTTACTTTCTTCTTGACACCATTAGTAATTAATTTATTATAATGAGCAATTACCATTGCGCTGTGTCCCCTGACAGGAAAGTAAGTAATCAAGAACCTGAACTATTGGGAATCCTAATTATGATTATTAAAGAATAAGAAATGAACAATTATAAATTAATGTTTATAAAATCCTTACACACCACAATCGATTTGTCCCGTGAAAAATTTGGACTGACAATATGAGTAGTGGTGAAGTGGAGAGAAGAGCTGGCATCTTTTAAAACTATCTCCGTATAAATTCATTGCCCCTGCACCATTGAAACTGATTGCTTTTTCGCATGGCTGTATCTTTTATGCTTATTTATAATGTACGAGAAACGGGCCAGTGACTTAAGTTCACTATAACCGAGGGTTCACTATAACCGAGTTCACTATAACCGGATTTGATTGTACTTATTTAGTTTGTAAGTTTCTGGAGACCCTACGTTGATTTTTATTGCTTAAATGCAATTGTGTGATAAAACAGCATTACCATAATTGGTACCATAATTTATAGTTTTAAAGATATTGTTCATATTAAATGTATAAGTTTCATTGACACCTTTCTGGGAATTAATCTGTTTTAGAGCTGCTGAAATGGGTGAAGATGTGGTGATGAGATTAAGATTACCCCGCTTTATGGATCCTTTCCAGGTGGGCAATATGGTTGAATAATGTAGTAGACAGTTCTCAAGGTAGGGTTTGCATATTCTTACGTTTGCAAAAACATAATTGGGATGATCTGCCCACTCACAGAGTTTTTTGTAGTAGTTGTCCTGTTAAAAATGGCAATTCTGTATCTCTGAAATTTCACAATATATTGACGGCAAAAGTGTAGAACCTCATAGCTCATAATCATGGCATTATTAGGAAACAATTCTAAAACATACAAGCAATGTAATAACTAATGAATATTTGTCAAACAATGAATGATATAGTAACAACATTTTTATAGTTATTGTATTATTTTATTATATATAAACAAACATATTTATGAAGCTTTGCTCATTATAACTACATGTATTAAAGCATGTGTTTTTCATATGCTCTAATAAAAACTACCTGTTTGTTGCTGAATATTTAAATGGAAAATGATATACAATAAAACATTTGCTGTTATTAAATCACACTTTTTATTTGCAAACATAAAATAAATAACTGAAAACTATTTCTAATTAAAGTTGATCATATAACTTGTGATAATATGAACAGATAAACTTTGTTTTATATATATTTTATATTATTTACGCAATGTCAGCAAATCTTTTAATAGTTTTACAGACAGGAAAGCATTAAATTTGATGATCCAAAAACTTGTATGTCTGAAATTTGAATTACAAAAACATAAGAAATCAATTACATAATGTATGGTAACACTAAAGATAACACTCAGAAAGTAATTTTCAATGTAGAAGATTTTTACAGAAGCTCCAATATTGTTTTGGGATAAGGAACTTCAGCTTGTTTGGTAATTATATTTCTTTTCTTGAATCTTTTTTCATGACTTATACAAATTTTTAGGAGAAATCCTGTACTTGTATCCTGTGTTTGTCCTTTGTGTGTGGTGGCGTAATGTTGAAAAAGTTAAAAGATGGCTTTTCAAAAAAGGTTAATGAGGATTCCTCAGTTTATTTTTATCAGCATGGGACTGGGAAGAATAAGGAAATCAGACGACACAGAATCCCATCTGATAAAGAGAGGGATTCTATGGGACCATGAACCAGTCAGAATGTTAAAAATATTGAGAGTGTCAATTGAAAACCTCATAACCCCTCAACCTTCTTATTTTTATTTTTGCAAAAATAACTAATTAAGTATGAAGTACTGGAACATTTAAGTTCCAAGTTTTAGAGCTCAAAAAATGTGCCCAGATTATACTTCTCCCCTATACATTAAGTATATTTGTCTTTTTCCCCTCTCCTACAAATACATCAAATCAAAGTCTTGTGTCTTCTAGAAAACCATGTTCCACATTTTTCCACATAGACATTCAGCAGTGAAAAATGTGTAAACTTTTCTTCCTGCGTTATGAGATTTTAATTTGAAGTATTTGAATTCAAGGTTTGATAAACACTAGTTTTGGCCTTAAAAATTATTTTATATATACAGTCTTTTACAACCTAATTTTGTCTTTGAAAAATAAAAATATCTTAAAAGTGGAGAAATAAGGTTTTGCTTTCACTTTTGATATTCATTGGCAAAAAGTGGTTTCTTTGAAGCCCCCCCTAGAAGTTTGTGACATTTAGTCTGATATACTACACAGACAAGAATATCTTTTAGGAAGCTTCAGAACATTGTAAATTTTCTTCGTAATGAAAACATTATGGAAAGTATTAAAATATTGTTGAGATTATCTTCTGCTTATAAACCAATTGAATAAAATGGTTTGAGTCAAGACATTTATATGTTTGTGAAGTTCATTAATAAATAGAACTTCATTTTAAAAAAGAGCGTATCAAAATCAACCAAAAAACTTACATTTAGAACTATATCATGCTCATTATTTTATATTTTGTCATTATACCTTAGTGTGTTTTTCTTGGAATTCAGGGTCTGAAGCCATATTCCTCATACCAAGCTGTGGGCATGCATTTGCTCAATTCACTAAGTAAAGGACACTATGCAGATTCTGATATATATTGGGCACATGCCTCTCTCAGTAAAGATGCCAAGAGCACTGTCTTGATTACGATACAGTAAGTATATTTCTTAGGAAAGGTTTGCTTATACACTCATTCTAATGTCAAATTAAAATGTAGTATAATACCAAACTAGAAACGAAAGAGTACCATAAATTTGTGTTCTGATAGTCATAAAAAGTGATAGTATGTGAGGAATGAAATATTCCTGTATAATTATATCTATGGAGTGGATTATAATGAAATGTATTTTTTTTTCTTTTGACTTTAGAAAAATGCCTTCTAATGCAGGCATTAATTTGATTTTATGACAAAACGAAATAACACATTTTTTGCCTTTTTTTTTATGATTTTGATCAATAAGTCATTTTTTACATTTCTCTATCATTTTTAAAGCACTTTTTCCTGATTTCATTATAATATTATTTTAATAGTACTTGCTTCAAATAATATTTACAAGATATTCTCCACAGAATTCCTGAGTTGCTGATTTGATTTTGCCACTCAGAAATTGTAATGTTAGCAATTGTGAGAATGTTCCTGGGATGCCCTAAGGTTCCTGTGATGCCTATCAATGCCATTGACAGTTCAGCTAATTTTGCAACAACTAAAGACAGATGTTTCCTGATAAAGAACAGTCCAAACCAATTGTTTGTAAACCGGGTTCATTTGAATTAAATGAAGAAGCCTCAATTACATCAGTTATTAGTTTTTAACAAATTTTTTACTTCATTGTTCTTTGTTTTTAGGACATTTTAAAAGAATTTTAAGAGCATTTTATTGGTCCTTTTTGGTGGGTTTAAGTTATCAAAATCCACCTCCTACTTATATCACTAAACAAGGAGTAAATTAGGCTATGCGAGAAAGTTTTATCACTATAATATGAATCACACTCAGATGATCTCACACTCACACATTCACAATAACACACACTCAATGATAATGCTCCTAATGGGTTAAAACTTATCAACAATACTAAATTCCTATTATGTTGAAAATGTGTTGTGAAAATTGAGTCTTCAGCACAATTACAGCTCGACTCTAGAAAATGTTGATTGGGGAAAGATTTCCTTTTTTTAACAAAAAAATAATAACAACAGCACTTCTTTAATTTACAGTAATACATTAATATTATATATTATGTTAATGGCATATTTGAATACATATTGCAAACACATAGGGAAATAATCACATTCCACAGACTAAAAATCATAATTCCAGTCAGTCATCACACACAACACAATTTGGTACAGATCTACAGGTACAGAATATTTCAATGTGACTAAAGAAAAACTTCCAGCATTACACAGATCAGTCAGGAAACAAATTTCAGAGAAAATTTTATGTGTGGTTTAAATGCTAATGCTATTCACAGACAGGCAGGGATTCTTAAAAAAACTTTGGGGCACCCCAAAAACTTGTTTTTTCCTACACCATTAATTTTGTCATCAATTTTTTTTGTATCATTATTTATAATTTTTTATATATATATTGCATATACAAAAAGTAAAAACAAGTGTTATCAGTATATTGCTTATTAAGCTGCGTGAAAAACTTTAAATGTTCTTTGAATGTTGCATTTTTGTCTTTACTCACATAATTTTTTTTCTATTCAGGCACATCTTCTTAGTTGAAAAATGTCGATTATGGGGACCATGGGATGTGGAATGGATTATTCGTATTGATGATATTTTGGCGGTTCCAAAAATCACTGAAAATCGTATTTTGTTGAAAGTCAGACAGGTAAGACTGCATTTTGTTTTCATTTCTGATTTGTAGCTAATTTTATGGCATGCAATTAATATTTTCTAAGCAAAATCTTATTAATTTGATATCAAAAAATGAAATCATCAGCATTGTGAATGTGAGAATGTGCATTGGCTAAATAAATTAATAGATATTTGTAAGTTCATAAAGAATGTGGTAGTTAAGCTCTAAATTTTCTTTTTATCCTTGAAAGGTAATCATTTTTTGTAAAAGTAAGCTTCTATGCATTGTATTTGGCAAAAGAAATTCTCTTTATTAACGAATGAGGAAGAAGATGAGTACATGAGAAAATTGATCGAGGGATACAAGAAGTAGATGTCTGAATATCAATACGTAGAAGGCACAATATCTTTGCATTGGGAAAGAAAATGTGGATCTTAATGATATTACCTAAAATTGTGGTAAAAAAAATGGAAAAGATACATATATTTAGGAAGTATCATCAGAAAGGCTCGTGTGAAGATGACAGATGGCACAGTATAAATTTGAGTAGAACCACTGTACACAGTTTTTAAATTCATTGCTTTGGACAGCAATAATTGAAAAAACAAATATGTTTGAGGCCATTATTGAATCTATTACAACCAATAGATTAGAAATCCAGACAATCATGGAGAAAAGCAGGAAAATGATTGAAGCTGTAGGAATGGAATTTTTGACGAGAGCCTCCAAGCTTCCAGATTTGAACATACCACCAGTGAAGACATAAGAGAAAGAACGGGCGAGAAGACTGTTCTCCACCATATTGAAGGCAAACAGTTAATTTGAATATCGATAGAATATCATATCGGTAGAATGGGAGACAAAAGGATACAAAAATTTTTTTCTAGTCAGTAAAGACATTTTTGGCTTTCAACGTTTCTTCATATTAGTACAATTTTTAATCATTCGAGACTGCTAGCTTTTGTACATCCACATCTTTTAAAATTAGTACATATTTATCCCAAGTACACATTTTCTCCACTTCACTCTAGCACATAAAAAATTACATAACATATTATATAAAATATTGTGTTGAAATATTTACTTGTGTTTTGTTCATTATGATAAATTGTTTATTTTCAGAGTTAAAACTTAAACTATTTGTGACTTGTAATTTTTTTTAAATGAACTATCAATAAGTGATCAATTTGAATATATTATTGAGTTAAATGTAAAGGAAGAACAGGCTTTCAAGGTTAAATTCAGTAGATACTTGGCTGTCAGTAGATACTGTGTACTAGGCATGATTCTAAATATTTAAATTGTTGTATCATAACATTCTGCAGGGTGAATTGTCCTGAAAAATGCATTTTGCTCTCAAGAAGACACATCACCCGACAGAAAGTTGCAGTCATTGACAACCGTGCCTAAGATAGAGTGACTTTTGGATAGTCTTGTTCTAAGATAAAGTTTCACAAAGTTTTAAGGACATAGAACGTTTTTTAATAATATTTTTATTGATTAATAAATTATAATTCTCAGAGCAAAGTGTTCCTTTTTTGTTCTTTTGACTGTATTTTAACACAATTTTCTTATGAATAACTTTAAATATTTCAGGAGGAAAGTTTAAATTACTTTCCTGGAGATGAACACTTCATTGAATGTGATGATCAGCAAATTCTGGAATGGTTACAAAATAAGATAGAAATGGTGATGATACTGAACATGGAAGATAAGCCCTGTCCTATAGATTGTGACACAAACTTGAATTAAATGAAAAAGTATTAAGTGCTGTATTTTGATAAAAAATTAGTAGAGAAATTCCTGTACTGTTTGTCAATCAAAGTTAACAAAGAGAAATGTTACACTCTTACTCCTCTATGAATGGCTATGGGAAAATATGCATGAATCAGCTACATAGATCATTCAATAGTTCACAAGCCAAAATAAATAATTTACTTAATGTTAAGGTTTTTTCATTAAATTGTGGGATGTGCAATGGAAGGAAGATCTGAAAGTTTGAATATACAAAGTTGTTTGTACAATGACTGTACAAGAAAAAAATTACTATTGGCTACAGAAAAAGAGAGAAGTATTTAAACTTCAATAAAAGCTTAAGTAACACTTTTGTACTGAATAATGCAATTGAAGATTTCATTATAAGCATATAATCAGAATTATATCACAAACATATTTTCATCAAATTAAATTTTTGCAGGTACATTTTCAACATTTTTCACAAATAATTTTAAAATCACAGTACATGAGGTACATACTACTTACTAGACATTTTTATTAATAACAACCTTTCCATGTAATAAATAATTTGGTAATACAGGTAGATAAATCATTTCAAGGCAGCTCTCATACTAAAACAAATGCAAAATTTATACTTATTCTTTTTAATTGTTCAACTATTTCTACCTGTTATTAGATAATGCTCTTTGACATACTGTATCATGAAATAATTTTGTAATATACTTGTATTTTATCTATACATATGTACGGCCTACTGTATATATTATTACAATAACAGTATTATTAGGCTGATCATTAGGAAAGGTTGCTTTTAGTTCTACAACTTCAGTAAATTTAAAAACATGGCATGCCCACTTAAGATGGCCATGAAATATATACTTGATAGACTAAAGCACTTCTTATTGTTAAGTTTTATGGCAATACTAGATTAGAATTTGTTTTTAGAGCTCAATTTATTGTCCCGTTCCTTTTTTTCATTCCCTATTGTTTTTTTGTTTTTTTCTCTCTCTCTCTCTAAAATGTGTTATTTTTGTAATGCAAGTTAGTGACAGAGCAAAAATAAATATTTATCTATGCTTTGGACTTTCAAACATTTTTTCCCCTTTCTTTTCTTTAAAAAAATAATTTATTTTATTTATGTATGTATTACACTGCAAAAATTATAATTTGAAGTTGCTCACAGAACTTTCCTTAAAAAATCCAAAAATCCTAAAAAAATTTAATTTGTCCTCAAAATTTAATTGGATCAACCACTTTACTGCTAGACTTAACCCACTATAAATTTGAAATAAGAATGGATAATGATGTGTGAAGTCTTGTTTCCATCACTGTATCCTATAACATTGTTGATAGTAATGAGTACCATCATATATCGAGCACAGTCAATGGACTATGTGGTGTTTGGATAATTCAATAAATGCAAACACCTATTTTATCAACTTACACGTAATACTATTGATTATTATTATGTATCAGACAATTTAAGAAAAAACTCATATTGTACAATATTGTTTTATTGGATTAGGTGGTGGATAAGAATGCAGATCATATTAACCACATTCTCTTTCTGTACTTAAAAATTTCACAAATTATTTGCCTTTTCATTGAACTACTTAATGAATTTGAATTGAAAAAATCTTATTTTAATCCTAATGGGAATTTAATTGTTTTAATCATACTATATGTGAACCATTTAATTTTAATTTTTGTCAATTCAGTTGTGGGGCCTTCTACCTCAATAATTTCAGAATGTACATTCACTGTTTCTTTTACTATTTTGACTTAGGACAGGTCACATGGGAGGATTTGGATCCCAGGCAAAATTATTATACATAGTTTTGTTTCAGAATTGTTTTCATTGTGATTTTCTGTACCTTTTCCTCTATCTTTTATCTACAAATTTCTTTCCTCTTCAAATGATTCCTGGCTTTTATTCAATTCTTAGAATTTCTTTTATCTCACATATGACCCTAGGATCCCAAAGCTCCTTCCTAGCTGCACAATGATTGGAAGAGCTGGGTGATACATCACCCATGGAGCCCTTGTGATGACCTTCATTTTCGCTAACACAACCCAAGAAGGCATTATAGATTTCCAGCAGGATCAATGTATTGAACCAAGTGGGTATGATCAAGATGATTCAGATGATATTCCTCTTGTGCTACTTTATAAGTTAACCTTGAGAGTTGGTTTAAAAATAATAAACTATTTTCAAATTGAAAAGCAGAAGCTGATGTTAAAGAAGGAAAATAAAAGAAGTGAAATTGTCCACAACTTGTGTTGGAAATCCTGTAAATGTAATAAGTCCAGAAAAGTGATCAGCAAGTCGTATTCATTGTTTTTCTTTTTAGAGACTATGCAAACAATTATTATTAAACATCAAATCAAAATTGTTCTTATAATAGAGTATAAAAATCGCTATTAGTTTTTTTGCATTACATAGATGAAAATAAATCTTATGAATTAAAAAATTTGTAAAAAATCATCTAAAAATGTATCTATAAATTTAAATAAATACTTGAAAAAGTAATTAAAGATATAATTTGGTATATAAACAAAAGTTCCAATACTTTACAATATTAGAACCACTTGGTGCTATGAAACTTTCATTGAGTCAGTTACATTTTTAAGTTAGACACAACCTTTCCCAAGTTATTGAGGTTATATTACGCTGCCATAGACTTGATTCTTGAAACTTTATAAGTGTTCTGTTCCTTCCCCCCACCTCTCTCCCCATCATTTTGTAAGAAGTTAAGAGAAGTTATTGTAATCATAAGAAATTTCAATAATTGGTGTATTTTCCTTATATTGAAAACTTAGTTGAATTCTATTTCTTATTCCCATTAACTTAACATTTGAAAGTGCATTACTACTGCTTGGTACATCTACACATCATAGAAAAATAGAATAAATATTATCAATTTTTTCATTGTATTACATGATTAAGAATATATCACCACAAAAATGTCAGCAATTTTTAAAGTAAACAATACATTTAAAGTACATTGTTGGATGACTGGTGTGGATAGTTTGGATAAGTGTGAAGAAAACCAGAGAATGTAATAATGGAGAATGTTAAATATCTATCAGCAAATGTTTTTCACTTGCTACAATGGTTTCTGAAAACCAAGCCTAAGAAATAATACAATTGTAAATGTTACAACAGTGTATCTTATCTGTATAAGAGGAAGAACGTCTTAATGATGATTTTATATGCATACTAATTGAATTTATTTGCTGTGGTTTATATTACATTTATACAGGTTTTCATAATTATTTTTTTCATTTTTCTTCTT